CCCCCCCCCCAATCTACACTGCTATTGCAACTTATTTGGCATTTTATTGGTTAAAACAAGTGACATCACGTGACTTCAGAGCCTAGGCCTTAAGAGGTCTTGCAAATTCTACCTTTCTCTCGGGGAACACTCCCAATGCCAAGTACAGAAGTCAAGGCTAGAATACTGAATGATGAGATACCATGTGGAGAGTGTCCCAGGTACCAAGTCCCCAGCGAGTGGGGGCTTTACAGCCTCAGTCCAGCACCCTAGTGAATGCAGCCACATTAAACTACAGCAAGATCAGAAGAACTACCCAACTGGGCACAGTCAACTGACACCATCGTGTGAAATAATCAATTGATTTAAGACCGTTAGTTTTCGGTGGTGTTGTACGCAGCAGCACCTAAGTTACATCAGAAAATAGAAGGTCAAACAGGAATCGATTAGTTATCCAAACACCATACAAGAAGCTATAGGATTGACAGCTTTATTTTCTATTTTGAACAGCAGGGGAAAAAAAACCCTGTAAAATCCTGAGAATCTGATTCAACATTCAATCTTTTTAAAGTCGCCAACTCTAAATACGTGCTTTCATTTTATATATTCACAAACTAGTTATAATGAATTTTGATAGGTTTTTTGTCTATACGCATCACAGGGTATAAACCTCCCTCTAATTCTTATATCCAACAGAAATTCTACTTTTAAATGACCAGTAAATTGTAGTGGCCTTTCCCATCAAACAAAGCAGGCTTGTATCCCTGTGCTGAATGTGGAAGGCAATGATTTCATGGGGAGTTAGCATTTAATCATGTACTTTATATCCTTTGGCAACTAGAAACTCTTAAAGTGCTTGGAAGACAGACTCTACAATGATGGTCAGAGGATTTATAACCTATACAGGTACCAACAAAAATATTTGTAAGTTAAGAGTAAGACTTGCATTATTAAAAATTGAAGACTTGCATTGTTGAGGCTCATCTTCAACTTTCGCATGATGCTATATCTCATTGTACCAATTTGCATTGCTACTGCATCAGAGGAAGCTTAAAAATCCTATTTTTATCTTCTAGGTGAGAAGAGATTTAAAAAACGTGATTCTACCTATTTCTACATTTAACAAGTTTCCTTAAATCAATATTCCTTTCTATCTCACATCAACAACCCACTCTCCACACCCAGTGTAATATTTTTGTAAATGCTTAATAAATGACTAGTCTCTAAAGATGAGCAGTGTTCATCAGTTGCATCATATCTTGGAAAGAATGAAAAACCAGCTGAACCAGCTTTTCTGCATCAGTTTCTGGGCAGGATTTCCAGGCTGTACTGGCCACATTAAACCTGTGAAGCACAAATAAAAAATGATTAAGTACTATACAAAAATCACAACACAAAGAGGCTCCAAATGGTGATGATGAACACAGCCATGACCTTTACACCATCTGGTAAAATGCCTACTATTATACTTAGGAGAAAATTCTGACTTCTTGTATTACAAGGCCGTGTATCAACTGACCACCCAAACCAAGACTCCAGAAGCAATGTTTTTAAAGCTCTCTAGGTGATCCTCATGTGTACCCAGACTTGAGAACACTGTCCTCCAAATGGAGGACCTCTTCAACTTCTACCCCCACCCAAAGCAACTTCATTGCTAATTGTCATGCTGTTTCTTTCTGTTCCTTATAAATATCAGGCTCTTTCCTACCCCACGACCATATAATTTTGTTCACCAGCAAAGTCACTGTGAAAACGTTAAGTGTATTCTACTTATTTAGAAGGCATTGTTACAGGGCTGGGGATACAACAACAGACAAATCAAAACCCCTGTTCTTCTGGGCTTATATCCTAGGAAGGGAAGAAAGAGAACATACAAACAAACATGGATACCCACTGGATGGTTATGAGTGTTCTAAAAAAAAAAAAAAATGAAGCAGGTGTGTGTGAAGGAGGCACAAGGGCTATTTTAGACCATCAGAGAAGGCCTCCCCGACCAGAGCAAATTTTAAGCAAATACCTGTACGGACTAACGGAGTGATCCCTGCATGTTATTTCAAGGAAGAGTAGGAGGCAGAGGAAATCACAACCACAAATGCCAGGAGGAGGGAGCTTGCTTGTTGTACTACAGGTACAAGAAGGCAAGGGTGGCTGCAGTAGAGTGAAAGAGGAGGAGAGCGGGGCGCCTGGGTGGCGCAGTCGGTTAAGCGTCAGACTTCAGCCAGGTCACGATCTCGCGGTCCGTGAGTTCGAGCCCCGCGTCGGGCTCTGGGCTGATGGCTCAGAGCCTGGAGCCTGTTTCCGATTCTGTGTCTCCCTCTCTCTCTGCCCCTCCCCCGTTCATGCTCTGTCTCTCTCTGTCCCAAAAATAAATAAAAAACGTTGAAAAAAAAAATTAAAAAAAAAAAAAAAAGAGGAGGAGAGCTAGAGAGGAAAGGTCAGATCTGTGACTGAGAACTTGATCAGACAGGATCTCACAGGAGGACTCTGAATTTTACTGTGAGTGAGATGAGCTCTTGGAGAATTTTGAGAAGAATGATAGGACTTGAGTCACATTTTTAAAAGGGCATCAGGGCTGTTGTGTAGACAGTGGTCCGTAAGAATGAAAGGGTGGACCCAGAAGACCACGTGAGAACCTGTTGCAATAACCTCAGTGGGAGAAGATGGTGGCTCAGCCCGGATGGTGGCACTGGAGGTAGGAGGCGGTGATCGGAGTCTGGAGAGCTGCTTTCTTGGCATAGTATTAATTCCTTCTCATCCCTAACATCTCAACTTCCCTGTTGCTCTCTGACCACACTAAGTAAAGCGGTGCTCGATCTCGCCCTCCCCACCAGTGTGTCTGTATTACCACATCAGCTTGCTTTCTGGTTCCCAGCACTCATCACTACTTACCTTGCTTATTTGCTTCTGTCCCTCTTTGCCCAGGAGAAAATAAAATCTCTAAAAGTGAAAATCTGGTCTGTCTTGCATCCTGAGCACCTAAAACGCTACAAGTTTCCACTACATACTTCCTGAATGAGTGAATGGATGTTCTGCCCCAGGATCGGGACTTCCAAAGTCAGAGACCTGGTGTGTCTGGACTAAACCCTTGTCACTGCATGCAATACAAGATCCATACATGTCAGGAAATATGTTAGAATGCTTATGCTCTGTGTCTGGTCGTGATTTTAGACCGTAGACCCTTTATATGAAAACATAGTAAGATCTATGTTGAACCTTTGTAATTTTACCTTTAATTTGTACATTCATGGACATAAACTAAATACTAGGGGAACAAATATCTAAGGACTTAGATGCTAACAAATGGAAGTACCACTGGTGTAAGAGACTATATGCACAGGTCACACTTGACACGGAGGCAGAAGAGAACATTTTGCAGAACAACCCTGACTGTAAACTCTTTTTAAGAAGTTAATGAAAAAAATAAATTACAAACTGAAATATGTCAGACATATTATCAGTCCAATTGTTCACATTCCATCCGAAGCCCCCAATCCTACCATCTTATTCACATAGTGCTAAATGTGGCCACATGATTTTTTACAAAGCCCCCCAAGCTCTCAAAGATCTCTGAGATGGCCAGACTATATGGATGAAGACCTTGCAAGCCATTCTTCCAATTTCATATTACCTTATTCTCCACCTAACAGGTTTTAGTATTTTCTTTCTCTTTCTTTCCACAAACACCAATCAAACCTCATCTGAAATTGCATCTGAGCAGGTAAAACATTCTTTTTTGGAATATAAATTAATTTACCTAGTCTCTTATCTTGGTCACATTAGTACTGTTAGGACTACATGAACCACCACATATTTATAGGCAATTACATTTTATGTGTTTTATTACCATAAAACACCTTGCCCAGAATATGTTAATATGTGTACTGAGATTTAAGGATGATGGCAGTATATCACTGAGTCAACCTAAATCGGTGTTCTGCACAAAATGCCTAAGGGACTGATTTGACCAGTGTCCCAAAAGCAGGATAGAGAAACAAACACACATTAAATGCCCACGTGGTAAAAACAATTACCTACGTAGCGAGTGGCAGAAGACAACACAGTCAGAATTACAGTGCAAGAAAGACATTCAAAAGACAGAATAAAAGCTCTCTTACTCTATAGCACAGTAAGAATGAGAAGAGCAGTCTCACCTGTCATCTCTGATGTGGTAGAAAAATCCATAGCCATTGTGTACCATGGGAACCACCACTCCCAGGACTCTTGAATACCCAACCAGACTTGTTGAGAGAACAAAGTTTCCACCTCCTCCACTGTATGCCATAAAGAGAGGATATTTTACTAGGCTTACAGAAACTTACATTACTTCAGAAAAGCTTTTAGGGGCCCAGAGGTGGCTCAGTTGGTTAGGCCTCCTAGTTCAGGTCAGGTCATGACCTCTCGATTGCGGAGTTTGAGCCCCGCTTTGGGCTCTGTGCTGACAGCTCAGAGCCTGGAAGCTGCTTTAGATTCTGTGTCTCCCTCGCTCTCTGCCCCTCCCCTGCTGGCACTCGGTCTCCCTCTCTCAAAAATGAATAAATGTAAATTTTAAAAAAAGCTTGTAACCTTCAGAAAGAAGGAACTGATTAAGTTATTAAACACTACATTACATTATATTACCTTTTAGAGAAAAGTGGGTCTGTAAAGAGTTCTGGAACTGGAAGATCTTCCTCTTTTGCTATGAGTAAAAGACCTAAAAGATGACGGTCAAATCCTGCAATGAAACCCCAAGTATTAAGCTAGAAAACATTTTTCAACATGAGAGAATTTTTTTTAAGTCAGAATAATTCCAATTTAAGTACCTTTTCCAGCCAAACAATATTTCATCATTTTATCATGTTTTGCAAAAGCTTGTAACATCTTTCGCTGTCGCTCAAGAGGCTGTGTTAAAAATCAAGACATATTTCAATAAACTGTACAGCAACAACAACAACAACAAAAAAAACCTGAGCTCAATGTAGTTAGGATGCGGGTCATCTGAGAGAAAAGATTTCTAAAAAGACCTTTAGACACATGCTTCTATTTATTTTCCTCACTTCTACTGCCTTTTCTTTCCTATAGGTCCTGCATCTTGATTCTTTCTTTCCCAGAACAGGAAAAACAATAGGAACTTGTGGGCAGCACTGAAGTGATACAACTGTCAAGACAGAAACAAGTAGGATTTCAATACTAACACACAGTTGTTCAAAATGATAAGGAAGCAGTTCTAGGACACTAAAATAAATTAACACATACATAACTATGTCTATCAAAACTAAAGAAAAAAAATACAATACCAAAATACCAGGGGGAAGGAACTACCCTATCGTCTAAATGCTTCAAAAATAAATAAATAAAGTATAGGGGTGCCTGCCTGACTTCGTTGGTAGGAGATGTGACTCTTGATCTCGCTGTTGTGAGTTCAAGCCCCAGATTGGGTACAAAGATTACTTTTAAAACAAAACAAAAATATAAAACAAAACTGTTCTGGTTCCAACACATTAAAACAAGAATCTGTGATTTCAAAAACGTTCAACCACATTAAGAAAAGCTTCCTTTTAAGGCACTTTGGGAAAGTCTTCACTTTATTGGTGTTATCTCAAAGGTAGATCAATAATAGTAAAATACTCATGGTATTGAAGACACTTTGCTGAAACACCAATCAAAAGCACAAGGAGATACCACCTCACACTTGTCAGAATGGCTAAAATCAACAACTCAGGAAACATACTGGCAATGATGCAGAGAAAGGGGAACCCTCTTACACTTTTGGCAGGAATGCAAACTTGTGCAGCCACTATGGAAAACAGTGTGGCGGTTCCTCAGAAAGTTAAAAATAGAACTACTCTAACAACCCAGAAACTGCACTACAAGACATTTATCCAAAGGATACAAAACTACTGATTCAAAGGGGCACATGCACCCCAAAGTTTACAGAAGCACTCCCAACAACAGTCAAATTATGGAAAGAGCCAAATGTCCACTGACTGATGAATGGATAAAGATGTGTGTGTGTGTGCGCGCGCGCGCACGCACGTGTGCCTCTCTCTCTATATATAGAGAATATTAGTCAGCCTTCAGAAAGAACAAACTCTTTCCATTTGAAAAACATGGATGGAACTAGAGTGTATTGTGCTAAACAAAGTAAGTCAGAGAAAGACACATACCATATGATTTCACTCATATATGTAATTCAAGAAACAAAACAGATCAACAAAGGGGAAAGGAAGGAAAAATAAGATAAAATCAGAAATGGAGGCAAACTGTAACAGACTCTTAACCGAGGGTTGCAGGAGAGGAGATGGGGGGGTGGGAAATGGGGGAAATGGGTGATGTGCAGTAAGAAGGGCACTTTCTGTGATGAGCAGGGGGTGTTCTATGTAAGTGATGAATCACTAAATTCTACTCCTGAAATCAATACTACATTATATGTTAACTAACTTGAATTTAAATAAAATCTTAGAAGAGGAAGGAAGGGAGGGAGGAAGGGAGGAAGGGAGGGAGGGAGGGAGGGAGGGAACCAACTTTGCCTGGAAACAGACACAAATGGACTGCTTCTCAGGTCCTTCCTGTTTCATATTTTTCCAAGTATATACTTCATTAGCAAATGAATGAATGCTTCAAAAACTTTCAGAAAAAATATCTGAAAGTATTTTACTGATCCAGGAGAACTGAAGCCAAGGGGTTCGTTATTCAAGGTCTAAGGATCCTTTAAACAAGTAAATAAATACTATGAATTTTTTGTTTTTCAAATACTCACACTAGTAGAGGGATCCTGCATGGACTGGCACCACCTGACTGCTTCTACTGTACATGACCTCACAGTCTCTGTGCGGCCATGATAAAAGTATCTGGTCATGGCAGTTTCATAGCAGCTGCCAGGGCTACAAGAAAAAATGAAAATACAAGGATGTGTCACAAAAAAGAAAATGCTCAAACATCATCCAAAGAAAGTGTACGTAATAAAGCTGGCTTTGGTCAGAGACTAAGTTCTGTAATACAGACCACAGTCGAGACTTTCAATAACAAAGAGACTATTTTCGGTATCAAAGAGCAAAAAGGTATTCTGATCAACAAGGCCTGGTATTAATACGGGCTGTTTCCAAGGCTTGGCTGCTCTGAGGTTATGTACACTGGAGTGTGTGTGGTAGATGGCCTGTAAGATGCACCCGCAGTGATCCCTGCCTCCCGTTATTTATGCTCTGGTGTAACTCCTCAGATGGAGTGTGAGAGGGACCTCATGATTTGCTTCTATTGAAAAGAACAGGACAAAGGTGATGTCACCTCTGAAATAAGGTTACAAAGAGATCTCACTGCTCTCACTTCCTCAATATGAGGAACACAAGCTGCCATGCTGGAAGGTGCCCTACAGTGAGGCCCAGGTAGCAAGAAACTGAGGGAGGCCTCTGGAAAACAGCCTCGGAGGAAGTGATCCCTGTTAATAATCACATGAGTGAGCCTGGGAGCAGATCCCTTCTGAGTACCTTCAGATGAGAAAAGAGCTGAATGACACTCTAACTACAACCTCAGCAGACTGCTACAATTGTATTTACCCAAAGACTACAAAAATTCTAACTCAAAGGGATATATGCACTCCAACGTGTATAGCGGCATTATCTACAAAAGCCAAATTATGGAAAGAGCCCAAATGTCCATCAACAGATTAATGGATAAAGAAGATATGGTATACATATACAATGGAATGTTACTTGGCCATCAAAAATAATGAAATCTTGCCATTTGCAATGACGTGGATGAAGTTAGAATGTAAGAAACAAAACAAACAAGCAAAGGGGGGAAAAAAGAGAGGCAAACCAAGACAGACTCCTAACTACAGAGAACTGATGGTTACCAGAGGGGAGGTGGGTGAGGGGTTGGAGATTAAGGAGTACACATGTTGTGATAAGCATTGGGTATTGTATAGAAGCTTTGAATCACTAAATTGTACACCAGAAACTAATACTACACTGTGTTAACTAACTGGAATTTAAATAAAAACTTAAAAAAAAAAAAAAACACTACAAGAAAATACTATAGGCCATTATCCCTTTACGAATATAGATGCAAAAATCCTCAAATTAGCCAACCAAATTCAGCAGCATATTAAAAAGGACAATTCACCATGCCCAAATGCAATATATCCTAGGAATGTGAGGGTGGTTCAACAAATGAAAATCAATCAATGTAATACACCTTATTAATAGAATGAAGGGTAAGCCCTAGAATAATTGAGACAGAAAAGCATCTGACAAAATCCAACACTCTCCAGTAAAAACGCTCAGTATACTAGGCATAGAAAGAAACTTGCTCAACATGATCAAGGGCATTTATGAAAAACTCACAGCTAACATACTCAAAAGTGAAAGACTGAAACCTTTCCACCTAAAAGGAGCAATATGACAAGCATGATTCAGCATAGTACTGGGTGTTCTAGCCAGGAGAAAAGAAATAAAAGGCACCCAAATTGGAAAGAAAAAAGCAAAACTATCTCTATTTACAGACAACATGATCTCATATTTAGAAAACCCCAAAGAGTCCACAAAAAATTGTTAGAGGAAATAAATAAATTTGGCAAAGTTTATTTTTTAATGTTTATTCATATTTGAGAGAGAGCACGCACGCACATGCGTGAACAGAGAAGGAGCAGAGAGAGAGGGAGACACAGAATCCGAAGCAGGCTCCAGGCTCTGAGCTGTCAGCACAGAGCCCGACACAGGGCTTGAACGCATGAACCGTGAGATCATGACCTGAGCCAAAGTCAGACGCTTAACTAGTGAGCCACTCAGGGGCCCCCGGCAAAGTTTAAAGATACAAAACTAACACACAAAAATCAGCTTCATTTCCATATGCTAGCAATGCACAATCTGAAGAAAATTAAGAAAACAACTGCATTTACAACAGTGTCTAAAAGAATAAAATACTCAAGATTAAACTTAACCAAAGAGGCAAAAACAGTATACACTAGAAACTACAGAACATTGCTTGAAGAAATTTTTAAAAACATAAATAAATGGAAAGGGATCCTGTGTTCATGGACTAAGACTTATTATCATTAAGGTGACAATACTACCCATACCAGTCCACAGATTCAAAACTCCCAACATTTCTGCAAAAATGGAAAAACTAATCCTAAAATTAATATGGTATTTTACAAAGAGCCAAGAACTGCCATAACAATCTTGCAAAGAACAAAGGTGAAGGACTCACACTTTTGGATTTCAAAACTTACTACAAAGCTACCATAATCAAAATAGTATGGTATTGCTATAAGAAGAGACATACAGACCAATGGGATAGAATTGAAACCCCAGAATTAAACTCTTATGTCTATAATCAATTGATTTTAAACAACAACATCAAAACCATTCAATGAACAGTCTCTTCAACAAATAATGCTGGAAAAACTGAGTATCCACTTGCAAAAGAATGACATTGGACCCTTACCACACAAAACTTCTACAAGAATATGTAAGGGGAAAACTTCATGACATTGGATTTGGCAACTATTTCTTGAATACGTCAACAAAAGCACAGAAAACAAATAAAAAAAAAAAACAGATAAACTAGACTTCAAAATTAAAAACTTGTGCGTCAAAGGGTACTATCAAGAGAGTGAAAAGAAAACCCACAGAATGGGACAAAATATTTGCACATCACATATCTGATAAGGGTTTCATATCCAGAATACATAAAGAACTCTTACAATTCAGCAACAAAATGGCAACCCAGTTACCAAATACACAAAGGACTTTTATGGACAGTTTGCCAAAGAAGATATACAAATGGATAATTAACATATGAAAAGCTACGCAACCTCATTAGTCAATAGGGAGATGCAAGTAAAAACCACCATGAGATACTACTTCACAAATAATAGAAATAATTTTTTAAATGAAAAATTAAGTGTTGGCAAGGATGTGGAGCAACTGGAACCCTTACATATTGCTGGTGGGAATGTAAAATGGTATAACCATGGTAGAAAATGGTTTGGCAGGCGCTCAAAAAGTAAAAGAGAATTATCACACAACCCAGCAATTCCACTCCTAGGTACAGACTCAAAAGGAAACTAAAACAGGGACTCAAACAGATACTTGTACGTGAATGTTTACAACAGTATTATTCACAAGATCTAAAACATAGAAACAACCCAAGTGTCAACCAAGAGATGAACGGACAAACAAAATGTGGTATACTCACATAATGGAATATTATTTAGCCATAAAAAAGAATAAAGTTCCGATTCTACAACATGGATGAATCTTGGAAACATTATCCTAAGGTAAATAAATCAGACACAAAAAGACAAATTCCACTTACATAAAATATCTATAAAAATAAGCAAGTTTATAGAGACCAAAAGTAGATTAGATTACCAGGCGCTGAGGAAACAGTAGGAATGAGAAATTATTTTTCAATGGGTACAGAGTTTCTGTTTGGGGTGATGAAAAAATTTTGCTATAGAAAGTTGTGACGGGGGGCGCTTGGGTGGCGCAGTCGGTTAAGCGTCCGACTTCAACCAGGTCACGATCTCGCGGTCCGTGAGTTCGAGCCCCGCGTCGGGCTCTGGGCTGATGGCTCAGAGCCTGGAGCCTGTTTCTGATTCTGTGTCTCCCTCTCTCTCTGCCCCTCCCCCGTTCATGCTCTGTCTCTCTCTGTCCCAAAAATAAATAAAACGTTGAAAAAAAGAAAGTTGTGACGGTTGTATAACATTATGAATGTAATTAATGCTGCTATATCATACACTTAAAAATGGCTACAATGGCAAGTTCTATTTTATATATTTTACCACATTAAAAAAAAGATACTCAAACTTAAGGCAAATACTAACAGTGTACTGTAAGGCTTGTAACATATGTAGAAATATAATGTTATGACAACAACAGCACTAAAGATGGGAGAATCAAAATAGAAACATTCTGTTTTAAGGTTCTTACATTATACTTCAAGTGGAAAATGTTATTTAAGGGTAGACTCTGTTAAGTTAAAGATGTGCTTTATAAACCCCAGTTCAACTATTAAAAGCAAAACAAAACAGTATATCTGACAATGGAAATAAAAGGGAACAAGTGAAAAAAAATGAATTCACAAGAAGACGAGGGGCGCCTGGGTGGCTCAGTTGAGCTTCTGACTTTGGCTAAGGTCATGATCTCACAGCTCGTGAGATCGAGCCCTGCGTCGGGCTCTGTGCTGACACCTCGGAGCCTGGAGCCTGCTTCGGATTCTGTGTCTCCCTCTCTCTCTGCCCCTAACCCACTCGCATTCTGTGTCTCTCTCAAAAATAAAATAAACATTAAAAAAAAATCAAAAGAAGATGAAAAAGAACAAAAATCAGATATGATAAAAAGAAAAGAAACAGCAATATGGTAGACTTAAACCTATCATTACTGATAATTATATTAAATATAAATGACCTACATATCCTATTTAATGACACATATTCTCAGGGTACCTGGGTGGCTCAGTTGGTTGAATGTCCCACTCTTGATTTTGGCTCAGGTCACGATCTCATACTCATGAGATCAAGCCCAACATTAGGCTCTGTGCTGGGCGTGGAGTCTCCTGTTTTTTCTTTTAATTTTTTTTTTTTTTTAAGTTTCTTTATTTCTGAGAAAGAGTGAGCAAGAGTGAGCGAGCATGAGCAGGGGAGGAGCAGAGGGAGACACAGAATCTGAAGCGGGCTCCAGGCACCGAGCTGTCAGCACAGAGCCTGATGCGGGGCTCGAACTCGCGAACTGCAAGATCATGACCTGAGCCGAAGTCAGAAGCTCAACTGACTGAGCCACCCAGGCGTCCCTGGGTGTGGAGTCTCCTTAAGATTCTCTCTCTCTCTCCCTCTGCCCTTTCCCATGCTTACAGGCAGCATGCTGTCTCTCTCTCTCTCAAAAGAAAAAAGAGAAAGGAAAAAAAAAAAGGACACATATTCCCTGATTAGATTTTTAATTTTAATGCTTATTTATTTTTGAGAGAGACAGAGCACGCACGTGAGTGGGGACGAGGCAGACAAAGAGGGGGACACAGAAACCACAGCAGGCTCCAGGCTCTGAGCTGTCAGCACAGAGCCTGATGCGGGGCTGAAATTCAAGAACCAAGAGATCATGACCTGAGCCGAAACCAAGAGCCGGACAGTCAGCCAACTGAGCCACCCAGGTGCCCCTGGATTTTTTTTTTTTACACTCAGCTGACTGAGCCGCCCACATGCCCCTGGATTTTTTTTAAGTTTTATTTATTTATTTTGAAAGAGAAAGAGAACAGGAGTGGGGAAGGGGCAGAGAAACAGAGAGGGAGAAAGAGAATCCCAAGCAGGCTCCACACTGTCAGCGCAGAGCCAGATGCAGGACTTGAGCTAACTGTGAGATCATGACCCGAGCCAAAACCAAGAGTCAGGCGCTTAACCAACTGAGCCACCCAGGTGTCCCTCAGACTGGATTTTTAAAAAGCAAGATCAAGGAGCTTCTTCTTCTGCTTAAGATTTAAGAAAGTCTCAACATACCATTTCTCCAATCCTAAAAATTAGTAAAGACTGGATAATCTATAAAATCATGAACACATCAGGAAACTGAGGCTACAAGAAAACCAAGTGATTTGAATTCCAAAGAACATAAAACCCCTCGTAGAACAAAGCAGACACTTCAGAAGTATTAAGGTTATGAAAAACAAGACTATGAAAGTGTCACAGATCAAAACTCTAATATACTAATGAGGTCAAGTCCCAATTAGGACAAGGTGCTACTTGGGAGAAAAGTCAGGAAAAACAATGGGAAGGAGTTATGATGGAATACCTATGGTAAAGATATACCCTTGGACTTCAAGATCTGAAAATGGAAAATGAATGGTCCTCACCGTCCATGAAGTCTATAATAGGCCAGCTGAAGTGCAAGCTGAATAAATGCATCAGGGTGAAGCCTCTTCTTCTTGGTTAGTTTTTTGCCAAAAGATGTAAAGGCATACACCACAATCTGCAGATCAGATGCCTAACAAAAAAAATTAAATGGGAAAAATGAAAAATCACCTAAGAAGAATACCCCAAAGATAGCCAAATCATCATTTGCATCAATCATTAGATATTAAACAATAAAGGTATCAAAAGCTATAATTTAAAATGTTTTATGTTGTCATGCTTGGATGGTAGCCAAATTTTTATATACGGTAGTTAAAAGACAAAGCATCAGTTTCTAAGAAAAAAAGTTAAAAAAATCTACCTGCTTGAGATATTGGGATTCAGCCTGTTTAATGTTGTTTAGGATTTTATCATCCACAGTGAAAACGAGCTCCTCTGGAAGTGATATATCCCGTACTTTTTCTGAACCCTGAAAATAGGGAAGACTTAAAAATGCTCAATCAAAAAACTACCAGGAAAAAAAAGGATGAAATATTTTTTCTGACATACCTTCCATCTTCCTTCATTCTCTACAATTTTCTCATCAACATAATGGCTGACGTTTACTAGAACCATTGCATCAAAAGGAGCATGCTAAAATGAAAATATACAAGATACTGAATACTTTATGTCAACTTAAAATTTGACCCAATATTTCATTTTCAATTTCCCTGCCCTTCATTCTTAATACAGAATAAACTGCAAAATTCAAATGCTTCACCTAATAAGAATATATGGCATAATAAATGACTGCTATATTTTATCTACTGCAAAAGAACAAATACTTAAAGCTGGAAGCACCTAATTAGAGATCCTTAGGTAATGATATTTATACTGGAAGTGAAAGCAGGTGTATGTGTGCAGTGCTAAGATGCTCTGAAATTTTAAGAGCACTGTGCAAAACACAAATAAGGCTGGCAGACTTTCTGAAGGCAAACTGAGCATGGATGCAAACTTTTTAGGTGAAGACATAGACCACCAGGTTGAGTATCAAAAAGCATAACAATTTTGTGTTTATGTCTACAAAACTGTTCAGATGTGGCAGAAATAATTCTCAACCTTTAAGGAATTCTGGAAAGATGGGCTGAGTTACAGGGGTATTATGTGTTTGACAACTATATTAAGAGAAAGGAATTGCAGCTAGTGAATTTTTCCATCATTTACTGTGGAGGACAAACTTTATGCCTTCTTTTTCCCATGTCCTTTGACAATTGCATCAAATAGTTTTATTTTTTCTCCATGTTACTGCTTCACTTTAAACAGTTACCATCCATGAACTGTATGTGGCACTACCAGCCTTGGAGAGAAAGATGGAGGCTTAGATAGGAACTGAGCACACTTGGACCCAGTTTCAGAGGGAGTTAGGTATCGTAAATATCACCCTAACATTACAGAGATGCGCTGCCCTCTCGAACAGCCCAGTGGAGCCTAGAAGTACAGATGAATACTGTTACCAACTAGAGAGCAGCCACAACATGAGGAACGGCTCCTGAGAGAGTTCAGAACAAGATGCATGAACAACTCACCCCACCTGTCAGCAACAGCACCCATAAGACACACAGATCAGTGACAAGTACATTTTCTAACTGCATCTTGCAACTTTACAAAGAATTTTTTATTGGTATCACATAATGTTTCATTTGAGAAAATACTATTAATTTATAACTCTTTTACTAGAGCCAGTAAGAAAAAGCAAGACTGGAGGATAAAAGTCTCTTTGACTTCTAATTCTACCCTACCCATCTCATGTTAGAAAGCTTATCTATTTTTTTAAAAGTTAGGAACTATGAAAACTTTAAATGCTTTCGTGACGTTTTATCTGTTAATACAGTTTTAACTTCCTTTTCTTTTTATTTATGTGGAGACAATACATGTAACATACTGTTTAAGAATGAGGGCTTTGATTCGGAGTCCAAACTCTACCATTTCCTAGTTGTTCAAGTGTTGAAAAGTTACTTAATTTTTTAAGTAATCTGCCTCATCTGTTAGTGGGGATAATAATCACAGACTTAGTGAGAAAAATGATTTTAATAATGCTTATAAAGTACTTACTACAGAACCTGGACCACAGCAATCATCAGTAACTGCTGTTATTATTTAATTACTTTATTATATGCTTCCTTATGTGCCCTTCACAAAGCCCTAAAACAAAGCCTGTATAGAGAAGACAAAATAGTTGACCCCAGGATTTTAAACCCCAAAAGGGAAATGTAATTAACTGCTATCATCACAAAAGTACATATTCAAGTACCAATGGAATACAGCAGCGACATGGCTTTGGATATAGAGTAGACCAACTTTTAGAGTATACAGATGAACAACACTGGCCTCTCATGCAATCAAAAATCCATATATAATTTTTCACTACCCAGAACTTAATTACTATTGACCCGAACGAAGTCTTGCCAATAACATCAACAGTCAATTAACATGTTCTGTGTTATAAGTATTATATCTACATTCTTACAATAAAGCTAAGAGAAAAGAAAACGTTGAGAAAATCCTAAGCAAAAGAAAATACACTTACTGTATAGTACATTAGTAGAACAAGGCACTACACATCTCCTCATTCCCACCCAAATTAGCAAAGCTACCCAGGAATGCAGGAAACCTCCTTCCAAGAAGATTCTAGGGGAAGGCAGAGAAATGGCGAAGAGAGAGCACCATTACCCTTCTCGCTAGGTTGCTTGCTCCCCTGACCCCTCTGCATGGTTCTAACTCAGCTTCTGCTTGTGGCAAGTGCTGGCAAGCGGCTCCCAGCAGTATTAGTTTTCTACTTCAGAGAATTTTCAGCACCTCAGACAGCATTCCTTCCTGCCCTGAGCTCTGCAACCCAGGTTCCTGCCTGGTGCTATCCTGCCCCAGATATTCTCCTGGACCCGTGGCACGGAGAAAGGGTTGGAAGGAGTGCAGATTATCATTCTGTGGTTCCTGGCCAACTGTGGACAATGACTGGCCTCCAGTTCCTCTGCTCCTTTCAGTTCAAGACCTCAGTGAACCAAACTTTGCACAGGTAGTGAGGTGAGGACTGCCAGGAGCACGTAGGAGCCCTGCTGTTCCAGCCTTCCCAGCATCTCTTCTCTACCTTTCCTTCACTTTTAGTCATTTGGCAACTTCTATTTTTCAATCACAATATAAAATATATACTTAAAACAAAAAATAAAAATAAAATATATACTTTTAAAAATCCATGTATTTACACCCACACAGTTGAAACCCATGTTGTTCAAAGGTCAACTGTATACACTCTATTAATGATATTTTACATAAGTTAAATTGTTTTTTTCTGTAATCATCTCAGGTTACAAGGGAAACCTACATGGAATTTTAAAATAAGTGGATATTAATAAATACACATAAAACATGTCCATACACTTACTACAAGAAAACATCTCGTTTGTGCTGAGATGTGTGTTCATTTTGAGACCAATATTCTTCATTTAGAGATGAAAAAACATCATTAAAGTTATTTTCATCCTGAATTTGAGCAAGTATCAAGAGTTTAGTGCTATTAGTAAAAGTCAAAGTAGTGCAAGGAGTTTTTTGGAGGGATTTGAGGGTTGAAAGTGATGATGAGAATAATTTACCCTTATGTAACAATATAACAACCAGTTTGAACAATATACAATGAAACAAAATTCTCAAAATAAGAATAGGTAAAAACTAGAAAAGAATAACTGCTCCATTGAGAGATGAGAGGATAAAGAAGTTGTGGTATACATACTCAATAGAATATTACTACTTTGCCATAAAAAAGAATGAAATCTTGCCATTTGCAACAACATGGATGGAGTTAGAGAGTATTATGCTAAGCCAAACAAGTCAGTCAGAGAAAAGACAAATACCATATGATTTCACTCATATGTGGAATTTAAGAAACAAACAAACAAAAATGATCATAGGGAAAAGAGAGAAGCAAACCAAGAAAGAGACTCTTAACTATGGCAAACAATCTGCTGGTTACCAGAGGGGAGGTGGGTGGGGGTAAGGGTGAAATAGGTGATGGGGATTAAGGAGGGCACTTGCAAAGAGCACTGGGTACTGTATGTAAGTACTGGATCACCACATTGTACACCTGAAACTAATAGTACACTGTATGTTAACTGGAATTTAAACAAAAACTTGAAAAAAAAACACGAATAACTTTAAGCTACCCATATACAAATGGTCAATGAAACTATTAAACCAGGGGAGAGAACACACCTAAGAGGAAACAGTGAGACTAATACTAAGGTCAGAATCAGTACACAGGACAAGACTGTTAAGAGATGGAGGCAATGTCAGAATATGTATGAAGAAGGTAATCAACTGCAGCAGACAAGTCAAGAGAAAGAGAGAGGAAGACACTAGGAAGTAGTTAGCTACTATACAAAGGATAGTTTCCGGGGAATAGAAAGAACTCAAGGAAATGGAGGCAATTAACAACAAGTATGTTGTCAACAATGAATCCCAAGGAAGATAATAGACAGGAAATCTTTAAAATGACTCAAAACAAACTTGCACTCTGATGAGGTACTATAATAGACATCTAGTTTATTACCTGCTAATCAACCCTTCACCCTCTTCTGAGATTTATTTTTCTGTAGGCAACCAACACATATGCTGTGGTGGTATGAATGAGAGTGATTCTACCCCCTAGGTTCCAAGGTTTAACATGTGACCCAGGCCACACAAATGAGAGCACCTGATCCCTCAGAATGGGCACATGATAGACAAAGGCCAATCACAACCAGTGAGCATTATTCCAAGGGCTTTTGCTGGAACCACTAGGATGGTGGAGGCGGTGTGTGGGGGGGGGAGGGGGACGTTTGGGGACGTTTGCATGAAGAACACTAATCTGTGAAGGGAGCTGTGAATGTGAAGACGAGACATTTTGGGTACAACGACCACATGGGATGGTCCACCTGAAGTCAAACACAGGAAGTAGTGTAAAAAATGAAGAGGGAAATTTTTTTTTTTAATTTTTTTTCAACGTTTTTTATTTATTTTTGGGACAGAGAGAGACAGAGCATGAACGGGGGAGGGGCAGAGAGAGAGGGAGACACAGAATCGAAAACAGGCTCCAGGCTCCGAGCCATCAGCCCAGAGCCCGACGCGGGGCTCGAACTCACGGACTGCGAGATCGTGACCTGGCTGAAGTCGGACGCTTAACCGACTGCGCCACCCAGGCGCCCCTAAAGAGGGAAATTTCTAATAAAAGCATTTGGATACTGGAAGTCAGCCTTACCCAAATTCAGCTGTACACTTATGCCAACAAATACCTTAAGCTAATGCCAGTATAATTTAGGTTTCTATCACCCACCACTGAATACTGATTAACACAACTATTGAACACAGATCAACATAACAGGTCTTTTTAGTATTGTATAGTTGCTAAATGCTTCTGGAGGAAGGCAACCAAAAACAATCTACCTAATACTACTTTATAGCAAATTATGAATTTTATGAAAGGTCTTAAAATGAGATTACAAGTGTATGCTGCAACTCTGACTTTGATTGATTTTTTAATTTTCTTGGTTTATAGACTTCTTGAATGGCCATCAGAAAATGGCAAGGTAGAGCTAATAAAGATGATCAAAGGAGAATAAAAGAAACAAGTTTTTTCTTTTTATTATGAAGCAGGTAAAAAATTGTAGAAGCATCACTTTAATATCTACAGTGTAAATAAAAATTCCAAGGATCATGTGCCATTTTAGGAAAATAGTTTAATAATTCCTGGGTAAATCTAGAGATATATCCACATATATCTCTTTGTGCACAGAACGTACACATAATGATCTTTTTTTTTTTCAATGCTTTTATTATCTTTATTTTTGAGAAAGACAATGTGAGCAGAGTTGGGGCAGAGAGACGAAGACATAGAATTCAAAGCAGGCTCCAGGCTCTGAGCTGTCAGCACAGCCTGATGTGGGGCTTGAACTCACGAATCATGAGATCATGACCTAAGCCCAAGTCAGAGGCTTAACTGACTCAGGTACCCCAATGCTGTATATTTTAAAATAGGTTGTAACTCTCAACCAACAGGTAACAGTGGACTTCAAGACCTTCAAAACTCTTTAAAATCCTTAACTACATAAAATACACGCAAATTCCACTTTGCAGATACACGTCAAACCGTCAGCCTTACTACGAATAAAAATAACTTGTCCTATACTCTGTCTTCACTGGAAATCATAACTAAGCCTTTTAGTATAATGTTACAGAACTACCTAAGTGTTTATTTGACCACAGCACAGCTTAACTACTATAGTTTATTGCCACTAAATTAACCTCAACAATTGAAAGGAAAAGTAACTTTAGTTGTTTACTTACATCACAATTACAGCCAAATACTCCATTGGAAAAGGAAATCAAGTTATAAGATTTGTCTCCCCAGCGTAATGTTGGATCTCCTGCAAGAATCATTGCAGTTACCTAAAACAAATTCAATGTTTTAAAATTAAAAGAATTTTAATATTAAAAGGTATAGAAGTATTTATACCTTAAACGTGTATATATACACACACACAAACACACACAAAACCCACTTTTCCTCTTCAGGTAAACCAAATTTAATAAAATGATAATAATTATACTCAAGAGATCATACTAATTCCAGCCCTGTCTCTAGGTATTTCTCAAAATCTCAAGAAATCCCACCAGTAAACAGAAAGCTGGTAAAATACTCATGGGTGTTTAGAGAACTTCGAAGGGAAAAGACAAAGCTTTTGCAACTTGAATAGTCTAAGAAGCTGTGATAAGTATTGTCATTAGAGTCTAGTTACAAGAAGAATAATTCAAGAATTCATACCCTACTAAGCCTGTTTCTTAAACAGTAGGTTTTGGCCCGTTAGTGAGCCATGAGAACAATTTAGCACATCAGAGTAAACATTCATTACAAAAAAAGTACAAAATAAAAATAAATATCAGAGTCTATCACAAATAGTAAAAGTAATTACTATTTTGTGAAACTTCCATTATGTGTGTATACGCGTGTAGTGGGCTACAACCTAAATGCATGTCTAACTAGACTGCAGTAAAAGTTCAAACACTACATTAAAATACATTCTTCCTCAAGAAGTTTGGTGACTCTCCCAGGCCACCTGGGTGGCTCAGTCGGGTAAGCATACAATTTTGCCTCACGTCATGGTCTCACAGTTCATGAGTTTGAGCCCTGCATCAGGCTCTGTGCTGAGTTCAGCCCCTGGCCGGGCTCAGAGCCTGGAGCCTGTTTCAGATTCTCTGTCTCCCTCTCTCTCTGCCCTGCCCCGCTCACGGTCTGTCGGTGTCTCTCAAAAATTAATAAACATTAAAAAAAAATTTAAAAAAAAGCTTGCAGACTTTCCTACTAAAAAAGTCCAGCTAAAGTTATTTTTACTTACAAAATTTTTCAATCCTTTATTTTTTCTACTATTTAATCGTGGTGAATCCATTATGAAATAATTTAAGTGTTTTCAAAAGCCTAAGAGACTTCTACAGGTACGAATACTACCTTTTATTGTTTCCCAGGAAATAACATTACCCTGGGGGGGCAGGGAAGGAAAGAAAGTAAGGCCACATTTACTCTGTACTCTGTACCTCACTAAAAGTCAGTGTGTCAATAAAAATCAAATGATAAATTACTTACAAGAGTGATATAACTCCTAGAACAGACCTCACCAACTAAGATGTCAAGGCACACTGCTGTGGGTTACCGGAAGGTTCTCATGTCACCTTTGGCATGATAAGCTCACTTAGCCCAGAGTCCCATGCAAATTTTCCGTTCATCCAAACAACAGCCATACTTCTTTAAATAATGTATAAGATATATCTAAATTACCTAAACAATGAGGCAAGAATTTACAAAGGATTATTTATGTATAAGCTTCAATCTGGTAAATGTATGTATGACAGCTAAGTAAAAATTTTAAGAAACTGCATGTAACAAAAAATCTTTTCATCTTTAATATACACAAGAGCCTTCCAGAATAATCTGTGAGAAGAAGTAACAGAACAAGATAGTCAAGTACCTGAGAATAATCTTCTGGCGTTACATGTGGACTGCTATCCTCTAGGGAATACACCAGTAAACTGCTTTGAATTTTTTCTAACCTAGTCAAGTTCTCCGGATCAAGACTAATCAAATATTCTCGTGCCTAAGAGACAAAGAAATAATGATTAAATGTTACAAACTAAATATATCCAGAAAATCTACAAATAGTCTGTTAGGGAAAAGGTTTATTAAGAAAAGCATAAACCTCTACCTGAAAGTAGACTATTCCGATGAAATCTTTCATGAGCCAAAATGGTATAGAAGAGCAAAGAGGCAATTACCATTAATTTATATGGAAACAGGTTTGAACGTTCTCTAAAAATAACCTCGCTTTTGCTTTACTTATAACACAGAACACATCTTGTGAAGGGATGCACAAATAAAGTCAGATAAAGCACAGGTGCTCCCAGACACAGATGCCCAGAGCTTGATGGTGAGATTCTGAAGGCAGCTCCAGGGGAATGAGCTTCGTGTGCCACTTGCTGCTCAAGGAACGTGCTGTGACACACACTTGCTGACACTATTTTTGCTTTTTGCCTTTTTTCATGAAAGCAAAAATCCTCCTTGGGTTTCTTTCAATGCACAAAACCCAGTACTAATGTAGGTACTTTGTGAGAGTGTAGTGACATAACCAAAACTTTCAAAAAGTGGGAGATACTTGTGCAGTTAATAATGCCCTGTTACATATTTCGAAACTGCTAAGAGAATACATGTTAAAAGTCCTCATCACAAGACAAAAAATTTAATTATGTGAGATTTATTGTGATCATTTTACAGTATATACAAATATCTAATTATGCTGTACACCTGAAACTAATATAATGTTATGTCAATTATACTTCAGTTAAAAAAAAAAAAAAACACACAACTATAAATTATAACCTTAGCCCATCGGGTTCGCTCCTCACTGGTTAATGCTGGTATCCCAGGTCCATCGGGTTCACTATGGCACTTCTTGTGAATATATGTCAATTGCCTTAGGGAAGATTAAAGAAAGAATATGTAAAAAAAAGCATAAGCAGGATCACTAGCTACTTTTAGCCTTTAATAGGTCATATTGTTTATCAGTACTTAACTGTTTTGATGTATTATCCAAAGAAAGGTATTATGATCTTAACAGCAATTTCCCACACCTTATCTCCTTTTTTTTTTTTTAAAGTGAGTGTGTGGCCTATTAACACAAAAGTATATTTAATAACTTTAAGTAATTAAATTTGCTGTTTGGCTGGTATTATTTATATTTTCAAAATGTACATGTACTTCTGGGGTCTAAGTAAATACCCCTTACAATAGAGAACTTGAAAAATATTCTGTAAATGATATCACAAATATTATGTACATCTTACCTAACTAAAAACTATGTGCATATATGTTTAACAGAATTACTCTATAACCAATTAATATTTGTGTGTAACTTCAAAAATAGAATACGTTGTCAATTTTAAATGTTTTCACATGTTACTTACAATCATTTTAAAGACTCTATTAAAGAAAAAATTTCACTCCAAAGTACTCTATACTCCCAAACTGATGAGTTTCCTGTATCTTTAAACATTTGACAGGCAAATAACAGGGTTCTTCAATAAAGAAATACACTTTCATCAATCCAAAATCCACAGAGGTTTAGCATAGGCAACAAAAGCAAAAAATTACATCAAACTAAAAGCTTCTGCACAGTTAACATCAAAATTAAAAGGCAACCTACAGAATATGAGAAAGTATTTGCAAGCCATGTATCTGATAAGAGGTTAATATTCAAAATATATAAGGAATCCCTACAACTCATACTAAAAAACCAAATAACCCTAATTTAAAAATGGGTTAAGGAACTAAACAGACATTTCTTCAAAGACATACAAATGGCCAGCAAGTGCACGACAAGGTACTCAACATGACTACCCATCAGGGAAATATTAATCAAAACCAAAATGATACATCACTTCACAGCTATTTGGATGGTTATGAGAAAGTAAGAAGTAAGTGTTGGTGAGGATGTGGAGAAAAGAACTCTTGTGGACTGTTGGTATGAATGTCAATTGCTGCAGCCACTATGGAAAATAGTAAGGAGTTTCCTTGAGAAATTAAAAGCAAAACTACTTTATGACCCAGCAATCCCAGTTCTGAGTGTATATCCAAAAGGAATTGAGTCAGGACCTTAAGAGACATCTGCACTCCCATGTTCACTGCAGCATTATTCACAATAGCCAAGAGGTGAAAGACACTTAAGTATCCACTGACAGATGAATGGATAAACAAAATGTAACATATATGTACAATGGAGTATCACTCACCCTTAAAAAAGAAGGAAAGGAAATCCTGCCATTGGCAACAACATGGATAAGCCTGGAGTACAATACACTAAGTGAAGTAAGTCAGACACAGGACAAATACTACATAATATCACTTACAGGAGCAAGCTAAAATAGAGTGGCATGGTGGTTTCCTGGACATGGGTAAGGAGGAAAGGGTGCGGGGGGGGGGGGGGTGGGTAATTAGTCAAAGGACACAAAGTTCCAGCTTTGTGGAATATCCAAGATGAATATCCTAGAGATCTACTGTAGAGCACAGGGCTTGTAATTAACAATACTGTATTGTATGCTTTAAAAAATTAAGAGGATAGGTTTTATGTTAAGTGTTATCACAAAAAAATTATTAAATAAAGGAGGCAGGCAACTTTTGGAGGTAATGGATAGGTTTATGGTAGATTGTGGTGATGGTTTCATGGGTGTGTACTTCTTTCCAAACTCATCAGGATGTACACAATAAACATGTACAGCTTTTCATATGTCAATCACACCTCAATAAAGTTTTTAAAAGTGTGTTCAAATTTTTTTAAATGCTACAGATTTGGTAACTAGGATAACCCCTTTTCCTTTAATTTGGCCATCTATGCATCTGTTTTTTAGCTACACATGCATTGTTTGATATTTAAAAGCACAAAATTTGTATTACCAGTATTTACATTTCAGACTCCTACACCTTTCAAAATATTCTATACTTGACATTTTCTCACAATCTGGTTTCTGCCTTCATTACTTTCCACTTTCATTTACTATAATCTGGTTTTGTCCTCCAATGATTATCTTGAAACTGCATTTCTGAAAGTCACCAACAGTATCCCATAAAACAAATGTAGTAGGTTTATCTCAGTCCTGTTTTCCTGATCACAGAGTATTTAACACCCAGGAGTAAATCTTAAAATTATCTTCTATCTTAGCTTTTGTAGCACTGTTCCACGGCAGTCTCCTTACCTCGCTTTCTGCTTAGTCTATTTCACTGATCATCTGTTCTCTTTTCACCACCAAACGTTCCCCCAAATCTGTCACTGACCTCTCCTGACGTCTTCTACAAGTTTCTCCTTTGGTAATTTCATCAATTTGTTTAAGAGCTTTAACTGTCTATTACCTTTGTGTAAGAGGCAACCAAATCTCTAACTTTAACCCCACTTTCTCAAAATTTCTGGTCCCAAATTTCCTAATGCTTGCTGATATCTCTATTTCAGTTTCAGTCAGCATTCCAAACTAGATTTAAAAATCATCTCCCTGTCCCCTTTCCAAATTAAAAGAAAAAAAGCTTATCTTAGAAGAAAACATAGGTATACATCTTTGTGACTTCGTTTTTGTTTTTTAAGGAGGCTCCATGCCCAATGTGGAGCTTCAACTCATGATGCTAAGCTCAAAAGTGGGATGCTCTACCAACTGAGCCTGCCAGGTGCCCCTAAATATTTATGACTTTGGATTAGGCAACAATTTCTCAGATACAACACCAAAAGCGCAAGCAACCAAAGAAATAGAAAAGTGGACTCTGTAAAAATTAAAACATTTGTGCTTCAAAGGAAGTCAAGAATAAAATGAGAAGAGAACTCCAGAAAGGGAGAGAAATATTTGCAAATTATGTATCTGGTAAGAGACATACTTAGAATATACAAAGAAGTTTTACAACTCAATAATCAAAAGACAATCCAATTAAAAATCGGTAAAGGATTTTAATAGACTTTTCTCCAAGGAAGATACACAAATGGTCAATAAGCACATGAAAAGATGCTCAACAGCACAGAAGAAAAAGAACACTACTGCACCATTGGTGGAAATGAAAACTGGTGCAGCCACTGTGGAAAATAGTATGGAGGTTCCTAAAAAAGTTAAAAATAAAACTACCTAGAATCTAGCAATCACACTACTGAGTACTTACCCAAAGAATACAAAAACATTAATTCAAAGTGGTACATACATCCCTATGTTTATAGCAGCATTACTTACAATAGCCAAGACATGGAAACAGCCCAAGTGTTCACTGATTGATGAATGGATAAACATGTGGTATACATATACAACTGAAAACTATTCATCCATACAAAAGAATGAAATCTTGCTATTTGCAATGACATGTATGGACCTAAGTGAAATAAGTGAGCGAAAGACAAATGCTATATGGTTTCACTCATATGTAGAATTTAAGAACACAACAAATGAGCAAAAGGGGGAAAAAAGGGGAGAGACAAACCCAGAAACTGACTCCTCACTATAGACAACAAACTGATGATTACCAGAGGGGAGGTGGGGGGAGGATTGGGTTAAATCGATGATGAACACCGGCTGATGTATGGAATTGTTGAATCACTATACTGTATACCTGAAACTAATACAGTTAGGTATGTTAACTAAACTGGAATTAAAACAAAAACTTAAAAAAAAATAAAGTTCTTAGTCATTTAAAAAAATGCTCAAGATCCCTGTCATTATAAAAAAGCAAAACTAAACCACAATGAGATCCTATGTCACACCTTTTTGGTTATAGCCAAGGTTACAGGATGGCTATAACCAAAAAGACAGATAATAACAAGTGTTGGTGAGGTGAGGATGCTGAGAAATTAGAACCCTCATTTACTGCTGAAGTGAATGTAAAATGGTGCAGTCATTTTAGAAAACAGTTTGGCATTCCCTCTAATAGTTAAACAGAGCTACGACCTAGCAATTCCCTCCTAGTTATGTATCCAAAAGAAATGAAAATACATATTCACACAAAAGTCTGATGTTCAGGACAGTATTATTCATAATGTCCATTAAGTGATGAATATTTACATAAAATGTGGCATATCCACAGAATGGAATATTCAGCCATTAAAAAGAATAAAGTAATAAAGCATGCTACAACACAGATGAGCCTTGAAAACATCATGCTAAGTAAAAGAAGCCAGACACAAAAGACCATATATTTTAAGATTCCATTTGTATGAAATGCCCAGAATAAGCAAATATACAGACACAAAAAGTCCACTGGTGGTTATGCCAGACTAATGGGATTACAGTGTTTGGGAGATATGGGTAGTGTCTACTAATGGATGGGGTGAAAGCTGGGGAGCAATAGGGCTTTACTGCTTATGGGTCCAGGGTTACTTTTGAAGGTAACAAAATGTTCTAAAATTGATTGTAGAGATGATTGCACAATTCTGTGAATATTCTAAAACATGCCAAATTTCACCCCTTATTTTTTTAAGTAGCTTCACACCCAGCACAGAGCCTAGTGTGGGGCCTGAACCCATGACCCTGAGATTATGACCTGAGCTGAGATCAAGAGTCGGACACTCAACCAAGTGAGCCACCCAGGCACCCCAAGAATTGCACACTTTAAATGGGTGAAAGGTATGGTGTGTGAATTGTATCTCAATAAAGTAGTTACTAAAAACAAGAAAGAAAATGAAATGGTTCCTCCTCCTCTGTTGCCTCCTTCTGTTATAATACTACTTGCCTACCCAACTATGTTTAAAAATTTCAGTCCTATTTAATACCTTCTTTTCTTTCTAAGCCCAATCACCAACTCTTACTAATTTTATCCAATGATATTCTAATAGTGTTGTATGGTGACGATTGGTAGTTGCACTTCTGGTAAGTATAGTGTAACACAGGAAAAAGTTGAATCGCTATGTTACGCACTTAAAACTGATCTGGGGCGCCTGGGTGGCTCAGTCGGTTGAGCGCCCGACTTCAGCTCAGGTCATGATCTCACTCTGAGTTCGAGCCCCGCATCTGGCTCTGAGCTGTCAGCACAGCTGAGACAGCTGTGGAGCCCGCTTCACATTCTGTGTCTCCCCCTCTCTCTGCCCCTCCCCTGCTCATGCTCTGTCTTGGTCTCAAAAATAAAAACATTTAAAAAAAATTAAAAATTTAACTTATCTAACACTGTGTGCCAACTTCCCTAATAGAAAAACTAAACAAACAAAAAAAAAGATACTTTAATAGGGTACAAACATCTTCTATTCCGTGGATTTCAACACCTAAACACAACAAAAGGCTCACATCCAAAAAGTATAAAGAACTCCTCCCACATAGTCATATATGTATGAAAGTGCTAATTAGTATAAACTGCATTATGTACTGCATATGTACTGTACTTTCATAAACTGCATTATGTACTGAATTTTCATAAACTGCATTATGTACTGAATTTCAATGTTCACATACCCTATGACTCAACAAGTCCTTTCCTAAGTGTCATCAGAAAGAAAACGTACAAGGATTCTCACAGCATCATTTTTTGTTCTAGTAAAAACCGTAAGCCACCGAAATAATTACCCTTGAAAAGAAGAGAAAGCATGGTAACTGACGAGTGGTATGAAGGAAATTTCTAAAATACTGGAAATATTCTATTATCTTGACCTGGTGGTGGTTACATGAGTATGTAGCTGTATATTTCTGTGTGCACTTTTGTACATGTTTGTAATACTTAATAAAAAATGTTAAAGATATAGATACATACAACTCAACATTTATAAGACAATCTAGGAAGATTTGAACAAATGATTGTATATTAATGATATTAAAGAATTCCTCATTTTCTAAAAGAAGCAAGTCATTAGGTGTGATAATGGTACTGCATGTGTATGATTTTAAGAGTCCTTATCTTTTAGAGGTACATACTAAAATACTTCAGTGGAAACATTATGTCTTGAGATTTTCTTTACAATAATCCATAGGAGACTGAGGGGAGGAGAAAAGGCGAGTCGATACAAGGCTCTGAATTCATAATTGTTGAAGCTAGGAGATGATAACTGTTGAAGCTGGGGTATGAGAACATGGAAGAGCTTCATTATACAGTTCCCTCAAAATTTTGAAATTTTCCATAATATACTTTGAAAATATAAACACACAAAATACTATACGTACATACTACATGTACATACTATTTATATGCATTTAAATACATACTAGATATAAACTACATTCTTTTTTATAAGTCTTTATGTGCATATAAATTCACTAGAACAGATACAGAAGGACAGAATACACCAAACTAGTTAATGGTGATAAATTCTGGGGCAAGAGGTGGAATTGATAATATTCTCCAAGTAGAATAGATTCATATACATCTAGTAAAGTTAAAAATTAATGAAAGCTAAAAATAATAAATTTGCAAAAATCAGCATATACAGAGTTATTTCTTTTTAGCTTACTGTCCCTTTATACAAAGGCAATTGTGAACAAAATTTATTTTTTTAACTCAAGCAAAAACTTAACACTTTAAGACTCAAGAAAGTAGTTTGAAAACCTGTGAATCTCTGGTGGGGTCATCAAACATCCTTCATGCATTACATCAAAGACAAAGACTCGGCCTCGACAAAGCACCGTAATGTGAGTTGGGGAACGCCCTTCGCTCTCTGGAAAAAGAAACAGGAAATCCAAACTCAATCTCTCAAAGTTAAACAAGAGTAAAACTGCTTATTTACATCCAAAAGAAGAAAATAATCCTTGCTCCAATACTTGATAATATATTCATATATTCATCAAAAATATCATATGAACAATAAGGTGATGGACTTTCAATTATGATATAAATATACACTCTTGAAATCTGTCCATGTGAAACAGCCAAAAATCCATGGAGTTTCAAATATTTGTACACCTTGAGACTTATATAATCCCAAACTCCTGCAGGGCTTTCTAGTTTATTCATGGATAGAAATGACAAAGGGAAAAGGGCAGCAAGAAATCCTGTAGAAGAGCTATGAGAATTAGTTGCTCCTAGGCTTTATTTCAATGTTGACTGCTTATCAGATAATTTAATTGCAGTAATATCTAGCTATGATTTCTAAATAAAATAGTTTTCAGTTGAAAAAGGGCACTGTTTGAGTGGCAAGGAGAATGCTTTTTGCCAAATCTAGTTTTACTTAAGGCTCTAATCACACCTGGCAAGCCACTGATAATTGATTCTATGATTCTTTGGGCACACTTTAACTCTCCAAGAACTGTATGTTTGCTGTAAATCTCAGAATATTCTGATTTAGCCTCACTTTTCTATTACCATTGCCTTTGACAAAGGTCTTCCTATATGGTCCCTGTTCCTTTCCTCTAAGAAAAAAAGACAGAAAAGACATACACTGCCAATGGAAGGAAATGTACTGATTGATATGTACAATTAACTGTGGTAAATGCTTTACACACATTATCTCATGAAACCCATCAACTATGAGGAAACATCATCTCCTCATAGCACTGTTTTTTTCCTCTTATATCCTATTTCTTCCAGTTCTAGGAGGTAAGGTATGTATTTTCATTGTCTTTCATGGCTACTTCCAATACATTTCTTCTCTCTTCTCCTTCAAAAACCTCCTCATCTTTTTACATTTAATACTACTACATCTTATTGTTGCCATTTACTGACCACCCCCTATTCAAAATTTAGGACTGGAAAAGAAAAAAGAAAATAAGCCTGATGGCAAATTCATCAACAAATGTTGGGAGGGTGACAGGACAGGAGGGTACTACTTCAGGATGGGCCTAAGTGGGGATATTTTAGCAGAGACCTAAACGAAGTTAGGAGTGAGCATGGAAATATCTGCAAGAAGAGAATCTCAAGCAGAGGAAATGGCAAGTACAAAGGCATTAGGACAAAATGAGATAGTTTGCTTTAAAAAAAAAAAAAAGTCAGTATAGCTGCAGCAGAGAGAGAAAAGGGTAGAAAGGTAGCCAGGATCAGGGCCAGGTTACATTGGCCTCAGAAAGCACTTCCCATTTTAAATATCATGAAAAGGAAGCCTATGGAGGGTTTTAAGACAGTAATAATGTGACCTCATTAGTACTTGAAAAAGGTCACTCAGGCTACTCTATGAAGAGGAGATCATAACAGTGAAGAGAACATACAGCAAGATCAGTTGAGAGATAACTAAAGTGATCTAGGAGACAAGGATCTATGTGAAAGGTGATGGTGGCTTTGAATGAGGTGTGACACTTGAAGCAGACAAGAGGTCAATTTTTTTTTTTTTTCTTTCCAGATGAGTGATACTACAGATTAGAACAATCCAGTAAAGAGGGAAAACTGACAACGCAGCAAAGAGAAGATAAGTCTGCAGCAAGGTCCTTGATTACACAAGAAGAGGTGGGGCCCAGTGTACCATACAGAAGGTTGTCTTTATGAGACAAAGCAGTTCATCCGTTTAAACAAGGGAAGGCAGAACGTAAAATAATGTATTGTGAGGGGGTTGCAGGATGGACAAGTATTTGAATGAGTAGGTTTTCTATGACTGCTGTAACAAATTACCACTAACAACACAAATGGATTATCTTACAGGTATGGGGAACAGAAGTTTGAAACTTGTCTTACTAGTCTAAAATGAAGGTCAGCACGTCTGTGTTCCTTCTGGAGGCTCTAGGGGAGAATCAGTTTCCTTTGCTTTTCCAGCTTCTAGAGACTGCCCACACTCTTGCCCTTAGGACTCTCCTCCATTTTCACAACCATCAAAGGAGGATCATGACTTTCTCATCCTGCCATCAACTGGGTTCTCTTCTGCCTCTTTCTTTACTTCTAAGAATTCTTGTGATTATTTTGTGTCCACATAAATATTCCAGAATAATCTTCCCATGTCTAGTCAACTGATTAACAAACTTAACTTCATTTTTGACCTAAATTCCCCTTTACTATGTAACCTAAAACATCTGACAGGCTCCAAGGATTAGGAAGCAAACATCTCTGGGGGGCTGAGGAGCATTATTCTGCCTAACAGGTTGGTAAATTTTGTGATGGAAAGACTGCTTTACATTTATTGAGAATAAGAGTTCATTAGCTGAGAATAAAGAAAACCATGAGACAGTCTTTCTGGAAGAGAGAGAATAACCTGACAAAAATATATGGCAAGATCGGGGCACCTGGGTGGCTCAGTCGGTTAAGCATCCGACTTTGGCTCAAGTCATGATCTCACAGTTTGTGAGTTCGAGCCCCACATCGGACTCTGTGCTGACAGCCTGGAGCCTGCTTCTAATTCTGTGTCTCCCCCTCTCTGCCCCTTCCCCATCATGCTCTGTTTCTCTCTCTCAAAAATAAACAAACATTAAAAAAAATATATATATGGCAAGGTATGCTGTGGGTCCATTTGAGGTTTAACTGAGAAAATTAAGTGAGGTTTTCTCAAGCCAAGGAAATTGCTATGGTAATATGTAGAGGTAAGAGAGAAGATTATAATTAAACAGTGATGAGGGGTGGGTGGAGTGGGGAAGGGGGGGTGGGCAAAGATTTGAATGTGTATGCAAAGGAGTGATTACAGTGGAGGTGGCAGGAATGGAACTGTGAAGAACTGTAGAATAACTGCATTTAAAAGTCACAATGTGATCAAAGAAACAGCTAAGGTAGACTCCCAAAGGAAGGGAGTTGTGAAGACAAGGTGGAGATCAGAGTGAGATGCTTATAATTACCATGAAGCATCGAAATTGGAGATGGAGTTTTTGATAACAAGGTCTAGGGCATGACCACAGGAGTATGTGGCTCCTTGAGAAGGAATGGAGGTGCAAATTACTAGAGGAAGAAAGTGAAGGAAAGCAGAAGTCACAGATTATCAACAACTGGAAGTTCAAGTCATCAAGGATGTGACTGAGGTAGTAATGGAAAGAAATGCAGGGAGCCTGGTGCTATACCAATCAATGAACAAAGGGGAATGGTCAAAAACAAAGTCACTGCAATCATGACTTTGTAAGGAAGAAGGGAAAGTGGAAAGAATAACAGGAGATAAAGAGCATACAACATCTCCTACCTTTCTTCTAGTACCAAAGTATGAGAGAAAATATACCCACTTGAGATGGTTATAGGGAACGCAGTAAACTCAAAGAATAACCAGGTTCAGTAACAGAACCCTTCAAAGTAAACAGGAACTTTCAGAGAAAAGGTTGAAGATATAAAGGATTTTGCTGACTGTGTGCTTCAGGAAGTACAGAAGAGTCTGGAAAAGGAAAGGAGAGTGGGTCACAGTAGTAAGGAACGTAGATCAAATTAGGCTATGCACAAATCCACGAATCCAGAGGACAGGCTATGATCTGAGAAGTCTGAACTTCTAGGCAAAATGAGGTAAACAGGGCAAAAGGCATGACGGAATTAGTGTTAATGGTCTCTTAAGGAGGAAGTAAAAATAAAAATAGTTCTAACTATTGCCTCCTTATTGACACCATCCTTTGAGCCACAGCAGCTTACAGGCTGCCTCCACATACATCATTTCTTCAATTTTCTCTGTCTCCAAGATAGATTCCATGACCCATTTTAATTTCTCTCTTCCAAAACACTTAAATCTTCCACTTTCTCTTTCTGCACCTGCTTGATTGTTGTAGGAAAAAAAAAAAAAGAATGTATCATCCAATTTTAAATTCGTAAACACCATTTCAAATGGGCACTCAACACTGATCAGCTACCCTACATTTCCATAGCAAATGTGCTTCTCCCACTTTCCAAAAATGACTAGTATTTCACACCATCTCCTTTCTCCTCAAATCTTCTACCCCAGGTGATGACCTCAGTTCTCATTTCACCAATGAAAACACAAGGAATTCATAGGACCTCCTCATCTTCCCACAACAAAATTGGTCAATTATGTCTGCATCTAGATGCACACTTTCTGCATTCCCTCTCATCATTGCTCTTGTCAAAGACCAACCCCTCCACCATTTCTACTTTTTTGACCCTCTCAGCTCTTATCTTTTCAAAGACTCTGGCTGTTTATTCTTACCCCTGTAAGATCATTGTTCTTTCTCTCCTATGTCAATCTCATGATGTAATAGCACTCATTTTTATTTAAATTTTAGCTAGCCAACATCTAGTGCAGTATTGGTTTCAGCAGAATTCAGTGATTCATCGCTCACATACAACTCCCAGTCCTCATCACAACTGCCCTCCTTAATACCCATCACCAATTTAAGCCCATCTCCCACCCACCTCCCTCCATCAGCCTCAGTTTGTTCTCTATCATTAAGAGTCTCCTGTGGTGTTTTCCTCTCTCCCTCTTTCCAACCTCCTCTTCTCATATGGTCATGTTTGGTTTCTTAAATTCCACATAAGAGCGAAATCATATGGTTTCTCTAATTGAGTTGTTTTGCTTAGCCTAATACATTCTAGTTTCATCCATGTCATTTCAAATGGCAAGATTTCATTCTTTTTGATGCCTAATATTCCGTTGTGTGGGTGTATGTATGTATACATATGTGTATATGCATATACACATATATATGCATACACACATAGTTTGACTATTGTGGATAATGCTGCTATAAACACTGGGGTCTGTGGACCCCTCTGAATCTGTACTTTTGTATCCTTTGGGTAAATACCTAATAGTCCAATTGCTAGATGATAGGGTAGTTCTATTATTAGTTTTTTGAGGAACCTACATACTGTTCTCCAGAGCGGCTGCACCAGTTTATATTCCCACTCACAGTTCAAGAGGTTTCCCCTTTCTCTGCATCCTTGTCAATGCCTGTTGTTTCTTGTGTTGTTAATTTTAGCCATTCTGACAGGTATGAGGTGGTTATCTCATTGTGGTTTTGATGTGTAGTTCCCTGGTGAGTGATGTTGAGTATCTTTTTATGTGTCTGTTAACCATTTGGATGTTTTCTTTGGAAAAGTGTCTATTCATGTCTTCTGCCCATTTCTTCAGTGGATTGTTTTCTGGGTGTTGAGTTTGGCAAGTTCTTTATAGACTTTATCTGATACGTCATTTGCAAATATCTTCTCCTATTCCATAAGTTACCTCTTAGTTTTGATTGCTTCCTTCACTGTACAGAAGCTTTTCATCTTGATGAAACAGTTCACATTTGCTTTTTTTCCCCTTGCCTCCAGCAACGTGTCTAGTAAGAAGTTGCTGTTGCCAAGGTCAAAGAGGTTGCTACCTGTGATCTCCTCTAGGATTTTGATGGTTTCATGTCTCATATTTAGGTCTTTCATCCTTTTTGAATTTACTTTTGTGTATGATGTAAGAAAGTGGTCTAAGCTTCATTCTTCCACATGTCACTGTCCAGTTTTCCCAACACCATTTGTTGAAGGGACTATCTTTTTTCCATTGGATATTCTTTCCTGCTTTGTTGAAGAGGAGTTGACCATGTAGTTGTGGGTCCATTTCTGGGTTTTCTATTCGTTCCATTGATCTTTGTGTCTCTTTTTGTGCCAGTAACAATAGTGTCTTGATGACTACAGCTTTGTAATATAGCTTGAAATCAGAATTATGATGCCTCCAGTCTTTTCTTTTTTAGGATTGCTTGGACAATTCGGGGTCTTTTGTGGTTCCGTACAAATTTTAGGATTGTTTGTTCTAGCTCTGCAAAAAATGCTAGTGGTATTTTGATTGGGATTGCATTAAATGTATAGATCCCTTTGGGTAGTATAGACATTTTAACAATGTTTTGTTCTTCAATGACCATGGAATGCTTTTCGATTTCTTGGTGTGCTCTTCAATTTCTTTCCCAAGTGTTGAATAGTTTTCAGAGTACTTCTTTAGTTAGGTTTATTCCTAGGCATCTTATTGTTTTTTGATGTAATTGCAAATGGGATCAATTCCTTGATTTCTTTTTCTGCTACTTTGTTACTGGTGTATAGAAATGCAACAGATTTCTGCATGTTGATTTTATATCCTGTGATTGTGCTGAATTCATGTATTAGTTCTAACAATTTTTTGGTGGCATCTGTTGAGTTTTCTACATACAGTACCATGTCATCTGCAAATAGTGGAAGTTTGACTTCTTCCTTGCCAATTTGGATGCCTTTTATTTCTCTTTGTTATACAATAGTACCCATTTAAAAAAAATAAAGTATCTCCCACTGTACATCAAAACTTCTTCCGTAAGGATTATTTCCATGTTGTCACTACTTACTTGGCTTCCTTTCATCTTCTCCAGTCGAGCTCCCTTCCCCAACTTCCACTAAGACTGCTCTTGTCGAGGGCAGCCGGTCCATGTCATGTTGACAAATAATTTGGTCACTTTTAAATTTTATCTCAGTTGACCTTCGGAGCATTCAGTACAACACTTCCTCCTCTTGGCTTCCAGGAGACCACTGTTCTTGCTTCCTTCCCACTTTAGTCTCTTTTGCTGTGTTCGACTCTTCAGACCACCAAATACCATATTTAATTGTGCTAAGCATCATTATTTGTTCACTTGATAATCTTCCTCTTTATGTGTTACAAAAGCTACTCTTAGGGCTTTAAAATGTTTTCTATGCCTGCTAATATTGATTCCTAAATCTCTTGGTGCAGCACTGAAACTGCTCCCCCAGCCCAAACTTTGCATCCAACTATCTACTTGCATTTCCACTTCAGATGTCTAAAAGGCATCTTAAACTCAACATAGCCTAAGGGACCTCTTAATTTCCTCCCTGAATATTTCGTCCCAATTTTTCCCACCTCATCAACCAACACACCTATCTACCCCATTTCTTAAGCCAAATACCTTGAAGTCATCTGATTCCCCTTTTTTTTTCTTACATCTCATAACCAATCTATGAATAATTATGCTAAACCCAAAACCAAAATATATCCAGAATCTACAGAACTTTTTATCAGTTCCATATTATTACACTAGTACAAGTCATTATTGTAGCTCACTAGAACTACTAAAACTATTTTCTAACTGATCTCCCCGCTTCTACCACTGTCTGTTTCCTAAAAATCTTAACCTTCAAACAGCAGGTACAATCCTCTTTTCAAAACATAAACCTGATCACATCACTTTCCTCCTCAAAACTCACTAATACTATCTTATTCACATTTTAAATAAAATCTAAATCCACGAATTGGCTTCCAAATTACCATATGATCCAGCCTCTAGTCACCACTCCAGTCGGCCACCTCCCCGTGGCCTAGTGTGCTCCATCCATATTTCCCTTCAAACATGCCAAATTTATTCATGCCCAGGGGATTTCTTCCCTCAACACAAAAACAATATGAACCAATCAAAAATAAAAAGACAAAAAACTGCTGTAACATCTTATTCATATCCTCAGAGATGCTTTCCCTGACTAAACAGCCACCTGCTTACCCATTATTTGAATTCTCTATACAGTATTTATCACCAACTCTGTTATTTGTTTACTTATTACCTCAGCTTTATCCCTAACTATACCTCTTTGCATGGCTGTAAGTATAAGAATATAGTTTATGATAGCTTGAAGGACTGTATTAAGAGGCACATTGTTAAATTAGTGACTGCATTTTACATGCCCAAACACCATAAAATACCTAGCAATAAACCTAACCAAAGAGGTAAAGACCTGTATGCTGAAAACTATTCAAAGCTTATGAAAGAAATTGAACACGACACTAAGAAATCAAAGAACATTTCATGCTCATAGATTAGAAGAATATTGTTAAAATGTCAAAACTATCCAAAGCAATCTACACATTCAATGCAATCCTTATCAAAATAGCACCAGCATTCTTCACAGAGTTAAAACAATCCTAAAATTTCTATGGAACCACAAAAGACCCCAAATAGCCAAAGTAATGTTGAAAAAGAAAACCAAAGCTGGAAGCATCACAATCCCACACTTTAACTCGCAATACATGCTGTACCTTAAAGGATTACTTTATCTATCTTAGAACATACCTATGAAATAGTAAAGATTGAACTTGAAAACCAGGTTGACTGATTGGAGTTCTTAACCGATACGCATATTTCTCTCTTTGCTACGGCTATTCCATTTTCTCCTGTTCATTTTTTCCATTCATGTTTGGGCATTAAACTTTATGCCCTAAGTAACCAGGTTTTTCACTTGCAACATCAAGATAAATGTGTGTGGGCCTGAGGACATTAAATATCTCAAGCATCTAATGAGGTTTACAAAGAGGAGTTTATGAAAGTAAACTCATATTCCTCACACCACAAGCAAAACTGGCAAAGAAATTTTACTTTTAAACAAAATTTCAGGTAAGAAAAATATCCTTTCATAGTTACATTCTGCAGTAACTATAAACTATGTTATTAAATATATAAAAAAGAAAAAGATCCTGAAATAACCAAAAACAAGTAGTTACTACAATAGAATTTTCCATTTTGAGATATGCTAGCACACCAAGCAGAATTTACCATTAAGCGGACAGTAAAAACAAAAACTTTGGTGAGTCAATCTGAACTCATATGCCTTCAAGAAGACTGACACCAGGCTCTCACTTCAAAAGGCTGGGAGTGGAAGGAAGGGCATACTCACAGAGAAATGGGGCATAATAACCATATATAAGCAAACACTCAAAAAGAAAATTCAAGTAAGAGGGTAGAGACAGAAAGATCCAAATCATATGCTCCAGATTTCCCAATATTCTAATTGATAATATTCTTTAACATTTAAATACTCAAATGATGCAACATAAGCACCAGCTTTTATATAGAACTAGGTAAGACACATTTTATAAAATCCATTCCCAGGGCATCTGGGTGGCTCAGTTGGTTTAACATCCAACTCTTGATTTCAGCTCAGGTCATGATCTCACAATTGGTGAGTTCACGCCCCATGTCAAGCTCTGGGCTGGCAGCAAGAAGCCGGCTTGGGATTCTCTCTATCCCCTCCCTCTGTGCCCCTCTCTCTCTCAAAATAAATAAGCATCTAAAAAAAAAAAAAAAAAAAAACCCATTCCCATAAATTTTTTTTTTTTTTTTTACTTATATATGAAATTTATTGTCAAATTGGTTTCCATACAACACCCAGTGCTCATCCCAAAAGGTTCCCTCCTCAATACCCATCACCCACCCTCTCCTCCCTCCCACCCCCCATCAACCCTCAGTTTGTTCTCAGTTCTCAACAGTCTCTTATGCTTTGGCTCTCTCCCACTCTAACCCCCTTTTTTTTTTTTTTCCTTCCCCTCCCCCATGGGTTCCTGTTAAGTTTCTCAGGATCCACATAAGAGTGAAACCATATGGTATCTGTCTTTCTCTGTATGGCTTATTTCACTTAGCATCACACTCTCCAGTTCCATCCACGTTGCTACAAAAGGCCAGATTTCATTTTTTCTCATTGCCACGTAGTATTCCATAGTGTATATAAACCACAATTTCTTTATCCATTCATCAGTTGATGGACATTTAGGCTCTTTCCATAATTTGGCTATTGTTGAGAGTGCTGCTATGAACATTGGGGTACAAGTGCCCCTATGCATCCGTACTCCTGTGTCCCTTGGATAAATTCCTAGCAGTGCTATTGCTGGGTCATAGGGTAGGTGTATTTTTAATTTTCTGAGGAACCTCCACACTGCTTTCCAGAGCGGCTGCACCAATTTGCATTCCCACCAACAGTGCAAGAGGGTTCCCGT